TTGAACATTTTTAGTAATCCCAGTGACCAAACTTGTAATTAACCCCAAAAATATTATTCATTCTCTTCATCAACCAAATTTCTCTAATAACCTAATTGCCCAACATTAGTAAGTAACGAAGAGGCTCCGTAATTGAGGAATCGTCTTTGGTGAACAATTAAAATAGCTGTCCACAAGGGAAAAAGAATAATTCAGTAGATCGTCTTAGCATATTCACAACACAACTGTATAGTCAATTGTCATTAGGTAAAGTAAAGGATTTGTTGAAAATAAGGGCCAACTTCTCACCATAAAAAAGCAAATAAGGGCCAAATTAGGAAAATATTAAGGCAAATATTAGTATATGTCTCTAAAAATGGTCCTTATATGTCTTACCTTTTCTTTGTTGATAATCTTATTATCTTTATTGAGGATAGTCTGAAAAAAGCTGAGGTAGTTATCTTTTGGCCAGAATGCTCAGTTGACGGCAGAGGTTCTTCCGAGTGAGGTCCGGACTACGGTCTTTTCCATGGGTTCGAAACAGGCCCCGGGATCGGATGGCTTCACAGGGAAGTTCTTTAAGGCTTTCTGGGATATAGTGGGCGCTTCGGTGATTGAAGCAGTAATTTCCTTCTTTACCTCAAGTCGGATGCTGCGAAGCTTTAAGCATACATGGCTCACTTTGATCCCTAAAGTGGAATCGGTGGAAACAATTAGACAGCTGCGCCCGATTAGTCTCTGCCAGTTTGTGTACAAAGTGATTACCAAAATCATGGCTGCACGACTGGCTAACATGCTCCCGCGAATTGTTTCCGAAGGGCAAAATGGCTTTATCAGGGATCGGCAGATCATTGATAATATCCTGATAGGACATGAACTGATGCATTACTTGAAAATTAAGACGCAAGGAAAGAAAGGGTACATGGCTCTAAAGGTTGACATGGAAAAGGCCTATGATAGAGTCGAATGGTCCTTCTTGCTTGCAGTTTTGGATAAGATGGGCTTTAGTTCAGTCTGGCAAGGATGGATACATGAATGTCTTCGATCCTCCTCGTTCTCGGTTCTCATGAATGGTACCCCCTCAGGATTTTTTACGGCCTCTAGGGGCCTTCGCCAGGGGGACCCGCTCTCGCCTCTCTTGTTTGTTCTCTGTACGGAGGGGTTTGCGGCCCTTCTTCGGCAGGCAATCACGGGAGGAAAATTAGAGGGTGTGAAAGTAGCCCCTCGTGCTCCAAGAATCTCGCACCTGTTCTTTGCGGATGATTCTTATCTATTCTTGCGCGGTTCTTTGCAGGAGTGCGAGAATTTGATTGTAGTGTTGAATGAGTATGAGGAACTGAGTGGTCAGCGTGTTAATTTGGATAAATCGGCGGTGTGCTTTAGTAAGAATATTTCGGCACCGGATCAAGAGTTCTTGGCCACGATTCTTGGGGTTGGTGCGGTGGGGGTCCATGATAAATATCTAGGACTCCCAACGCTGGTTGCCCGGTCCAAAACAGCTACATTCAGATATTTGGAGGAAAAACTACTAGAGCGACTCCAGGGGTGGAAACAGAGGACTTTGTCGTGGGCCGCTAAGGAAACATTAATTAAATCCATAGAGTTGGCTCTTCCTCTGTATGCTATGTCCTGTTTTCGGCTTCCCCTGGCCCTTTGTCGCCTTTTCGATAAGCATGTGGCTCGTTTTTGGTGGGGTGCGGAGGACGGGAATCCTAAGATAAGATGGGTGTCATGGCGTAACATGTGCAGGAGTAAGCATGAAGGGGGGATGGGATTTCGCCAGTTCGAACATTTTAATCAAGCTCTGTTGGCTAAGATAGGCTGGCGTATCCTCAATGACCCTCATTCGCTTATTGCTCAGGTCTATAAAGGCAAGTATTTCCCACAAGGATCTTTTCTAACTGCGACTGCTAGATCGCGGCCCTCTTGGGGGTGGCAAAGTATCCTTCATGGGCGTATGTTATTGGAAAGAGGGTTGAGATGGCAGGTGGGAAATGGTCGATCGGTCTCCCTTCTTCATTCTAATTGGATTCCTGGGTATCAGTTGGATCCCCCTGCCTATAATCCTCGGATCTTGCCTGAGGGGGGTGATCCCTTGGTGGCGGAGGTTATTAGTGAGGGAGGAGGGAGGTGGTCGGCTGGAATGCTTAGTCAATGGTTTGACCCTCCCACCTGTAAGGCTATTAAAACTATTCCCCTACCGCGCCGGGATGTTCCGGATAAGCTCATCTGGCATTTTACGGCTGACGGGGTCTTCTCGGTTAAGTCGGCCTATCATTTGGCGGTTAATTTGGACAGAAGGAGGGGAGGGTGGCGTTCCGCGGTGAGCTGGATGGATAAACCGAGTTGGGTTAGAGTCTGGGAGGCCAACATCCCTCCGAAGTTGAAGGTGTTTGTTTGGCAAATCCTTAATCGGGCTCTGCCAACTATGGAGGCGCTGATTGAGAAAAAGGTTCAGGTGCAACCCCGGTGTCCAGTTTGTTGGGATGCCCCGGAGACTCTGGAGCACTTGTTCCTTTATTGTCCAGTGGCGCGGGCTCTCTGGGATTATTCTGGGTTGGAATACTTGGGAGAGGGATTGCCTCGGCAGACTTTTCCGTTATTTCTCAAGCGTCTGCTGGGGTTGATTCACCAACCGACGGTGGTTATGGCTGTTGTTGCCATCCTGTGGAGGATCTGGAGATCTCGGAATTGGGTGGTTTTTGAGGGTAAACAATTTGGGATCCCAGCTCTTATGCGCCAGTTTAACCAGCAGTATGAGGAGTGGGTGGGTCTCCCAGTAGACCAGGTCCCTAGGACACAAATCCAGCTAATGCGATCTTCACCTCCATTGGATGATCCCCATTTGGTCTGCATGTGGGACGGTGCTACTAAGGGTGGGTCTCATTCGGCTGGTGGAATGGTTCTTTTGGACTCCACGAGGACACTCTTAATGGCTAGAGGGATCCAATTTGCTCAAATAGATGATCCTGCAATGGTGGAATTGCTTGTGCTTCGTGAGGCTATCATTTGGTGCATGGAGCAAGGTTTGTCGACTGTCCGTTTTGAGGGCGATGCGAAAGTGATAATTGATAAAATTAATCAGGCGGATGCAAGAGATAGCCGGCTGGGTGCGGTGCTTGAAGAGGTTGTTCATTATGTTCGTGCTCAGTCTGGCTTTAGTGTGCGGTTTGTAGGTCGGGAGAACAATAGGGTAGCTCATTTGGTAGCTAGGAAAGCCCTTTCTTTGTACCCGACTATGAGTCGCTTCTTTGATTTCCAGACCTGGCTGGTTTCCAGGGTGTAACTTTTTTTTGCTGTGATCAATATATGATATCTTTTGACAAAAAAAAAGTTATCTTTTGGCCAGAAGAGTCACTTTTGTCACTATGGTTTTGAACGCACACTAATTTATGCTATGCGAACCTCTATCCTTCATTTTATCTGTTGGTGATGAGTATGAATAATAATTTTGATCAGATTCATTTTACCCGACTTATTTGACTTGTTTTTGGGCGGGGCAAACATAGGTAATCTCATCGACCTGGCCTGTTTTGACCACCTCTTCATTCTCTACACGTTTTGCCACATGATAAAAATACCCGACATGCCATGAGACCAATATGAGTATCGAATATCTATCTCGACCTGTTCCATTACCATTCTTAGTGACGAGATAGACAGGAAATTAGTGAGAGGTTTTGTTTTGGGTGCTTTGGATGGTAAAGGGAAAGTTCACTTGATTCCAAGGGGGACTATATACAAACCTAATGATCAAAGGGGATTAAGGTCCACGACTGCTAGAGGCCCGAAGATGGCTTGCCTTGTGAAACTTGGATGACAATTACTTAACAATGTAGAAAGAGTTATAGGTGCAGGTTTTTTCAGGGCAAGTATTTCAAGTATAACAATGGCCAATGGGAACATTACATCCATGAAAACCAGTATTCAATCCCCCTCTGGTAAGTGGAAAAGCCATTATGAAGGCAATGCTTATCATTAACTCAGCCACTTGTTCAAGCTTCGGAGTTGGGAAGACTACAACATTTTGGACTTACGGTTGAAACTGGTGTAGTCCTGGAGGATTTTCCTTTAACCAGCAGCACTGAAACCGAAAGGGAAGAACCTTTGTGCAATTAGGCCACTAACTCAGGGAATTGAGATTGTGACAGGTTGAATAGAAAGCTCCCTAATGAAATCCTCCATCTCATTGCAGCACCAAAGTAGGAGTTGGAAGAAGACATGACCATCTGGGGAGTGGAACCAGATGGAAGGTTCATACTCAACTCAACCACCTTGGCAGATCATGCTGCCTTCTCCATTAATCTCGAGACTGCTAAATCACTAGAACATAACTGAAAGCTGCCGAACTTGGAATTGCCTTGCCATTACATCAAGGTTGTCAACCGTGGGTTGACCCGGACCCGGTCGATCTATTGGGTCAAGGGTTAACGGGTCACCCGTTTTAGCTCGGACCTATATAAAGAGACATATATTATACTTATTCTGATAAATTATATCACATCTCATCTAACATATGAGTAATAACATATAATATTACACCAAGTAACATATAGTGAAAATTGAGTTAGGCGAAAAGAAAAATAAAAAAATAGGCGCATTTCACAAACCAAAGAAAAAAATAACACAATTTGATCTACAACCGGATATCTTGTAGCGGTCGACCCGACGGATACTTACGGCTCGGTTTTTTCACTAGGTCAGTGTCAAAGTGGATCGACCCGCGGGTTGACAACCTTGCATTACACAGATGATTCAGGAAAGTCTGTTTATGCATTGATTCTACCACAACTAGTATCATCAAGAACAACCATGATGTTGAGCATTCACATGATATGCTTGCCTCGAAAATTAATTGTTTGTTGCTACTTGATTGGAGAATTCATATTTTTCCTAGTGTAAATGTATAATAATGCTACTGATTTTTTTGGGCCAACAAGGGTAAGTCCACATTTTGGTACACATCTGATCGATATACACAATCCGTGACAGTTACCAGATCTATTTTGATGCAATCGAAATTTCACAAGAACATCTTATTCCTATTAAGAGCTAAGACGCCTAAGGTACCAGTCATTTTTAACAAAAAGAAAGAATGAGCTGGAACAAGGCTACATGTAAAGGCACAAGACAAGTAACCACCAGAAAGGATGCTCTACCACGAGCTTTCATGTAGCCAGCCTCTGCAAACACCATATGAACCTGATACCATGAACTGGAAACGGAAAATATCACTGCAGTTAACCACCAGAGAGGGACACTCTACTAGGAGCTTTCATGTAGCCATCCTTGCAAGTACCATCTGAACCTGATACCATGAACTGCAAATCGAAAACATCACTGCAGTCTGCAGTTCTATAGCTGATTCATGAACCTATCCATCTAACCTCGCCAACAAACCACAACTACCCCAGCCTGCTCACGCAGCACCCAGGAACAAAAGTAGGTTAAGCCAGCAAAAGCAAAGAACATAGTCAAAACCCCTTTCCTTGAAATGAAATGAATACTCAGCTCCAAGTAACATCTCAATATTCATATCGAAAATCCTTAAAAAGGAAGACTGATGTTGATGAAGCATATCCAAAATACAGAAACACGTAGCTCAAAGTCGTTTCTACTTAACTAGTACATAAATGTCACCAGGCGGGAAAATGTTGAGCATCATATTCATCGCTTTCCACCACCACCACCAAGCTTGGGTCCACCCTTGGGTGCAGCCCCTCTCGGCATCTTGCTACCTTGCGCCTTCTGAGACTTGGTCACTTCCGCCTTCTTGGCCTTCTTCTCATCCTTGGTTTTCTTAATCCTTTCCTTGATCTCACTGTAAACATTCAAACCAACAGGAAAAAAGAAAAATAACTTCAGTTGAAGAAGAAGCTCCACTCACAAGCCTGTGGTCAAAAGGAATAGATGGCATGATGCACACATACCGAATGGCAGCTTCACGAGCAGCATCTCGGACTTCTGGCTTCTCAGCCCTCCTCTTCTGGATGACCTCCAACGAAGCACCAACAATGGACCTTGAGTAAGGCTTCTTGTTGGTCCTTCTCTTCTTCTTGACAGATTCAGCAGCAATATCCTAAGATGCACAAACGAGTAACACCATGGTAAGCAATAGAAGGGATGGAGAATGGAGACATTTTCTACCACACACAAAAACCGAAATGGAAACTGCAAAAAGATTATTACCTTCTTGTGCTGCTTCCTGAACACAGCGGTCCAGGTAAGCTTCGAAGGCTTCAGGCGGTTGTGGAAGTACCTCTTGCATTTGGAGTTTGCAAAGAGGAAAACCTTTTTCACCCAAAATCGGTAATAAGAGAGTAACAAGTCAGTTTCCAATCGTTCTTCCACCAGAAGCGAAAAAAAGGGGGCTTTTTTGCAAACTCAATATAACGATAACTGACCTGAGAATCGGCACGGATGAACCTGATGCCCCTGCCGGGGTAAATCTTTTGGCCGCTGAAGCGGCATAGCTCAGTTCTGCAATAAACAAAACCCACATGACCGTCGATGTCATGTCAGCAAACCGAACCGTGAACGGCAAAGAACGAAGAAATGGAAAAGAAACCTAAGCAGAGCATAGAGCGATATGCCAGCAAATTCCTGGAACCAAGTTATACAAAGCTATTATCGTAAATATGGAGAAAATTCCAATTTCAGGGAAGCATACGCATAAGAAATAAACGAATTCAAAATTTCTGAATCAGATTCAAGGTCACATTGCTCTCGCTCCGAATCAGTCAAACAACCACAAAAATGAATCAAAATCAACAGCCTAAATGCTCCGTATAACAGGAAAGAATGGTTCGGAGAAAGAGCGAGAGATGGAGTAGACGAACTTGAGAACCATGGCTATGAGATGTTGGCGTCGCCGCTTTGCTCCTCCTTCTGCTGCTGTTGTTGTGATTCTCTGAACTGGAAAAACCCTAGTTCTCACTACGCTCTCAAATTTAACCCCTACGAGATGGGCCTGCCGCGCTTCGCAGCGGGCTGCAACTGCAATTGATAATTTTTCCTTTTATTTTTTCATTCTCAGCGGCCCACAATATAATAATAAACTTTTCAAGGTGGGTCAAGCCCACCGTTACCAATCTACAATCTTGTGTTATGTTGGTGTGTACTGAAATGCTAAAATTAAAATCAAAGATGTTATTCCCGACATGCTATGGTACCCCGGGGTGGCTAGGAGCGGGTCGTGCCCGTATCGCCGCGGAGCAACAGCCGCGTCCCGACTTCACGGTCGCCAAAGAAGCCCCAAGAAGCATCAAACATTTCCGATGGGATCCATGTAGCAATTCTTAGATAGCAAGCACAAGCTCCCGGTGCAACTTCATAAAAAGCAATCAATGATAAGATCGAAGAGAATGAAAGAGACTGTTTTGTACAAAAATGAATTGAGAATTCATTTTATTGTAAAATAAATTATCGTGTAGAATTCATTGTTGAATAAAATCATATGTTTGGTATTTTATATTCAAATCCTTAGAAATAAAATGATGCGTCGTGTTGAATTCATTTGGTATGTCATATGTATAAGTAATTTAGTTAATAATAAAGGATAATCATGTCATTCTATTATAATTAGTAAATACTTGTGGAATTCATTTGGAAATTCCATCTCAATTCCTCGGAATTGCTATAACTGGTTCCAATTCCGTAGAATTCAAAATTTATAATTGAAAATGAATTCTTTTTAATACCAAACACAAAAATATTTCATTTCAAAATGAATTTCTCTAAACTTATAAACTTATAGCATTCATGGTATGTAAGAAACCTTATCATACAAGTCAAAACTCATACGGGTCCAATTGAAATTTTCATCTCTATTTATCAAATACACATGGAGGCTCCCTATGATCATTATCCCCAATAATATATAGTACACTTTTGTGTATTTTTCTCTATTTCAAATTTCCTGCAACGAGAGTGAAAGTAGGAAGGACATTTTTGTCTTTACAATTAATTATTTATCTCACATTAAAAATATCAACATCAGGATTTGAACCCAGGTCTCTTCAAACAAAGACAACAATCACAACCATTTACACTGAGCAAATTTGTTGTGTCATTTTGAATACAAAATATAAACGAAGTTCAACTCTCTGAAAATTGCAGGACTTTCCATCATGATTAGCAAGCCCACTAAGTATAGCGTATGTTTTCTTATGGTGATTGATACTTCAATTTTCATAGTAGAGTTTCATGTAATTTTCTCAATTTTAAAATTCTTTCTCTCTCCTTAATTTTTGCTAAAGGTAAATTGGTAATTGGCTAACATGGAAAAAACTAATTTTTGTCACTATATGTTGTGTCTTTGCATTTTTCAATTTAAATTTTGTGGTTTTTATCTTTGTTTTTATTTCTTTCTAACTTCCTCAAAAATTTCCTCCATCGTACAATAGTTTGCGCCCCTTTCACTTCCCAGTACAAGGCGACCTTTGAAAATCGATCATTCGATATCTCTTGGCACGTGGTTTTATTGTTGGGGATTTAAGTTGGGCAAGTAAAAGAGTTTAATCAATAATGGAGTTGCAGAAGGAGGATTCGAAATTGAATTTTTGGTTGAAACATATGTCTCTTGAGATAAAATTTTGGTTGTACAATGAAGAGTGGTGGCTATTGGATCTTTATGTTTATGATTTTTACATCTATCACAACCTATTTATATCTTAAAACGAGGAATCATTGATTGATTTATTGAAGTAGGTCGATTCTTTATTCCACCTACTGGAACTGATAGACAAGGAGTGTGTAATTTTGTGCATTATTACTTTGATTGAGTCTATTATTATGTTGGAGATAACCCTAATTTTGTCGTTTGCTCTCAAGTTTTGATGATCCCCTCTTAGCTGAGTTGTTAGTATATAGTTGACTTGAATCAACAACTCTCCATTTCTTTTTGATTAGTGACATATTGTTCATTAATGGAGGGCATTAAACCCTTATGTAGGATTGTGAGGTGATTTAGTTTCAAACTATCTAATGGTCGTGTGGAATTTCACTGAGCTTTTATACCCTCTTTCTTGACAATCAACTAACCAATAGTATTTTAACGATGACTTAATTATCATTATGAAAATGAAATTAATGATACATTTTATATTTTATATTCTTAAATGATTATGGTATTTCTCTGAATGTTAGACCTACATATTCTTTCTTTATGTATCATCTCGATCGAAGGATTGTCAATAAAATTAAACCGGTTGATTGGCTTAACATAACATAAAAATATAAATAATCAAATAAAAACATTCCGGCCAATAGGCCGGGTTATAAGCTAGTTTAGAATTGTAGAGGAGTCGAACAATACAATTAATTATATGGGGATCTAGTGACCAAATTTAGTCATCTCTAGTATTTCCCAATCCAAACAAAAAATGTAAGATATCAAATGAAGCTTAAAAGCAGTTAAATTTTATAGCAAACGAGTTTCTTTCAGATAATTTTCCAGATCAGTTCTCCTCGAGAAATTCAATAGATCAAATGAAATTAGAAAGAGAATTACAACATGAAGTCTAAGTCTGATTTTGTGTTTGCCAAAAGAATGATTGTTTTCTAAAAAAAAAAAAATTGTTCACATTAGGGCTTGCTATTTGGTCCGGGCTATTTGGTTTTACCCGAAATCGGACTGGAACCGGATAGCAAACAATCCAATCCAATCTTCGAACTTAGATTTGAGCTAAAAAACCGTTTGGGACCGGATAAAAAACTGGATAAAGACCGGATAAGAGAGCCCAACACCCAAAACTTAACCAACTCATCACTCTTTGAGTCTTCAGGCCACTCAAATTTCCATAAGTTCAATCTAAAATCAAGACCGAATTGGGACCGGACTGGGTCAACCGGACCGGATCAAGACCAGACTGTATCCAATCCAATCTTTGATTCTTATATTCCCGAAAAGACCGGACTGGAAGCGAATCAATTCGAACCAATTTAACCGGACCGTATAGCCACCCCTAGTTCACATAACTGCAGTACTACTACATCAGGAGAAAAATTCCAACCCCAATTCCAGAGCCCAACTCCCACATCACAAACATTTCAATCCCAATTCCATTCTCTTAATCCCACATCCAAACATCCTACTGCTCCTGAGTTTCAAACTCAAAATGTTACTTAAAACAGATGGACATTCAACTGACGTACGCATTTGCTAGTTCAATTAGGAGGACTAAGCAACTAGCTAATCTCTTCTAGATCATCAATTTCCCGGAGCCTTCCGGTGGGAACTTGAATGGTTGCCAAAACTGATAAAGACGGCGCACATGCTGGCATTGTTCCTGCCAGACCTAGTCATGAAATTACTCACAAATTTGGTCAGCAATTGTGTTGATTAAAATATTACAGTACCGTCCTTAAAGAAAGCACAAATCTTTCCAGAACATTGACAATGGGCCATAGGCCTCTCTACTTGCCAATCTCTAACCTAAGGAACTCAATTACATGTAAATAAGATAGGCTTCCTTGGAAACACACAAATAACTTCAACACTTCAAACAACTGGTTCCACATCAGAAACCCGCCAGAATCCTAAACCGAGCTATCGGCTCACACTGCCTTGGCTGTATCACGAACTAGGGCAAGTTTAGCCAATAGGCCACACATCTGAAGGTAGGAACCAACTCCATCACAGATTCTCATGTGGGCAAACCCTGTTTCCTGCACATTTCATAAAAGCAATGAAAGAGAAGAATGTTACGAAGACATCAGCTGAATCCTGCAAGTGGTCTTAGAGATGAAAATCATCGCTTTACCTTCATGAATTCTAGCTTCAGATACTCAGCCATATCATAATTTTTTATGATTCGGAAGAGAGTTGTAATGATATCAGTTGGGGAATAGCCAAGGTCATAAAGCTGCTTCAAACCAGAGCAAGCATCATCAAACTTTCCCTCAAGGACTTGGCGAACCATATTCTTCACGTGCAGAGGATGAGGCTGGTCGCATACCTGATTTGGTGACAACACTGTTAGATTACAGAAACATCTTATTGATTATAGGTCCATCATTGGTTTGAGTAAAGTCTGAAAGTTTGTACCTTGAAAACATTTTCCTGGTTGACAAATCGGAATCCACTGTATGTAGCTTGCAAGTTATTGAGTGCCTGCCTCATATCTCCATCAGCTGTGAAAATGATGGCTTCAAGTCCTTCAGGGACGTATGGAACCTTCATCGATTACACACAAATGAAAATGAGTGAATGTGCTACTCCCTTATTAAGCTACCCTATCATGGCATTAGCATATAAGGAGTAATTGCATATGAAGAAACCACTTCCAAGGGGTACATACAAATCACAATTTCACAGAGAGCTCAACCCAAATCCTTAATTCTCCTCCTTAAGATGCATATAATTGAGTACCAAAATCCAAGTGTCATTACTAAGCCACACCATACTGATGTCTGATTAGTGTTTTTTTTTTGTTTTGTTCCTGAATCTGTGATTATGCTGGTGGCAATCTGACTGTACTGGATAACTGCACATACCCATCATGACGTCTTCTTATTCCATGGTTAGCTCCCAGATACTATTTCAGAGATGATTCTACCAATAGCAATAATGCTGACTTGGCCCAAGGAACTAAAGGTCATATGGGATAGGAAACTACACAGAAGAATTGACATCGAATAAAAGTTTGACATCACAGATTCTATATCAATTCCAAGATTGGCACTGCTTAATATTGCACTATAGGCAAGCTTCAAGCAGAAAGTAAAAGACTACAAACCTTTTCTGCTTCCACTACCACCATTAGACGACCAAGAATCTCCTGATCAGACAGTCTTGAAAATCGAACGAGAGCGCATCTACTCTGAATAGGCTCAATCACTTTAGAAGATGTATTGCAAGCAAGAGCGAAACGGGTGGTCTGGGAGTATATTTCCATTGTCCGTCTCAGGGCTTGCTGTGCTCCTGAAGTCATGCTGAATATTCATAGTTCATCATCCATAAGATATGGGTTTAAGTATGACTTCAACAATTGATTTTTTTTCATATAAATCCTAACAATTGGAAGTTCCGTAGTACTGGGATTATAACTCATCTCACCTATCAGCTTCATCGAGGATCACAATTTTGTGCCTCCCAGGTGGAAGTGTTAACTTCATCTGTGCAAACATTTTTATTTTGTTCCTCACCACATCTATTCCTCTGCACATTGAAACCACAGGGAGTAGGATAAGCTACAGATACCAAAGACTCAACAACTGAACGAAAGAAAGCATTTGATGTGTCCCAGCACAAAAGGAAATGAATCATAAGCTTACTCACCTTTCATCTGATGCATTCAGCTCCAAAACACCATCTTTATAGCTAGGCCCAAGAAGCTCATGCGCTAGAGCCAGTATACTCGTAGTTTTCCCAATTCCAGGAGGACCCTGACAACGTAGAGAGTGGCGACAATGTGAAATTCACCAAGTAAACAAGAATCCAAAACCAGAACTACATCACCGCGGAAAGTAGAAACCCTCACGTCCAATAGACCATTGTTAAGGAAACCCCATAATCGGGCAGAAGCAAATTTCTAAACTGAATCTGAATAGAAGAGCGAGCAGAAGAAGAGAGGGGAACGGTTACCGATAATATCAAATTAGGTAGGTTGCCCTGGGTGGCGATGACTTGGAGGCGGGAGACAGCGTCCTCGTTGCCGACGATATCGGCCACTTTGCTCGGCCGGTACTTCTCCACCCACGGGATGTCGTAGCTACTTCCGGCGGAGGAGGACGACGAAGCCATTGGTTGTCGCCTGTTTGAGGAGAGCTTGACTTGGAAGAGAGCGGGAAGACTGAAAGGGAACCGAAGGAAAAAGGTTCAAAACCCTCACTCGCCGATTCTTCTTCCGACGGCACCTCGAATTCCGTCGCGCAACTGGGCAATGTTACAAAGTAGTCACTGTAGTTTAAATTTGTTATCCAATGCAATTGCCAAATTAATTGCATATAATTTTTTTTAGGGTTAATAATATTTTATTCAATCCAACTCACTTTTATTTCATTGCACCTACATAAATGGAATTTACTTGCAATTGCATATATGATAGTTTAAATAATTTTATAATAAAAAAATAAAATATCAAGAGAAAATAATGTTATAAACCCATTTTGTTATTGTCATCTCGAATTTTATTCAACCCAACTCACTTTTATTTCATTGCACCTTCAGATACTACTAACCATTCAAACTAATAAATCAGTTAGACAATTTGTCATATATCTAATATATTATGTATCACATACGTAATATTTTATCCGTTGTAATAAACCATCTACTAGAAGTTTTTTGTTGCTATACACTCATCAGCATCGCTCCCTCCAAATTTCACTTCAGAAAATTCCAAACCAACCTTTCAATTTTGGACTTTTTGAATTTGCATTCAACTGCACGGCGACCTTCAAGTCAACCACCTATAGGTTTAGGATTCAAAGATGGGGGAACATCTTCCAAATTAAATATTGTGTATTATAGTAGCGAAAGCATAGAGGATCTATGGCTCCTGTTTAATCTTGCACAATTGACAAAAAGTAACGAAATTCAATACCATTTGCAAATATTTTCGAATGTACCGATTCTATCAAGATGGGTTAGCCATGTTACAACACAATTGTGAAGGTTTGAAAGGGTTTCCAAATAAGAGATGGCCTACTAACCATCCCAGCGAGGATGTTGATCGTGTCCCAGTATTTCTAAACAAAATAATGGCTCTCAAATCACCAACAACCATGTATTTAGTTTTTAACGCATTCTTCCACGCCCATTTGAAAATAGGTGGATATAACAGGATCGAATACCTAAAATCCAAAAAATTAGAAGTGTTATACTAGCTCTAGATGAAGAGAAGGGTTGAGTTGTGGCCCGAGTTGGCCTCCCCTGAATCCGTCACTATCAACGTAGTAGACTCTGCCATAAGCTGGAAGCATTGCATGTAAATTTTGTTTGTGGAGAAGAAAGATCCATTCAACACAAGGATTGTCCGATTTAGTCTGATAGTTATGCAAACATAACCGTTCAACAATCGCTAATTGGGAATAAGAATGTGAGAGAAGAGGATCCACTAATCATGAAGCAAGGCACAAGTAGTTTAGGACTAAAACTGTGTAAGGAAGTTTGTGATTCTCGACACGGCTTGTTCTCACCTATAATCTATGTAGAATAGTAGAAGCAACATTTTAGACTATTATAAAATAATAGGTAAGAGAAACCAATGTGGGAGCAAGGTCTGAGAAAAAGATAGAAAATGATAAAAAGAGCACACATTGTGCATATAAAAAGAGCACACTTTGCTCCCACCTCTCTCCTATTTGAAAAAATGACCATTGTGGGTCAAGCCCTCGCTGCGAGGGAAGACCATTGCCTGAAGTCACCCAATGGGTCGCTGGTTGTTTCTCCTGTGCAACCAATCAAAAAATCGAAGGCTAGCACAAGCACGAGATTCTCTAAGCATATTGAAATGGACGTCGCCGTAGTCACAGCAATAGAGGAAGATGAGGAGATGAAATTCACAGAAGAAACAGAGGACATGGACTCTGCTCCACCGACAAACACTACACTGGACCCATAAGCAGGAAAGACCAGTTATAGGGACTCATTCCTGGGAAACAGCCCGCTAATCGATATTTCGAAAGGAGATGATCTTATGGAAGACGAATCAGACACGAAAGATGCAGAAGATGACCCTGATTGTCCGACAATCAGGATCAAGAAAAGAACCAATGCGAAGATCTGCAATAGATGGAGACGAGCGATCATGTTCAGAGTCCTTGGACGTTCATTCCCATTCGCCATCGTCCATAGAAGGATTATGAGAATGTGGGCTAAGACGAGCAGAATGAAAGTGGGTGACATTGGAAACGGCTACTTCCAAGCCACCTTTGATTCTCAACTGGATCATGCTCGGGCGCTCTATGGAGGTCCATGGACGATCGAGGACCACTACATCATCTCTGAACCGTGGAGACTCGACTTTAATTCGGACCTCGATACGATTAACAGGATGACTGTCTGGGTAACACTCCCTCGCCTTCCCCTAGCCTACTTTGATGAAGATATCCTCCTGGACATTGGAAGCAAAATAGGAAGGGTGGAAAAGATCGACTATAATACAACGAATGGCTTCAGGAGAAACCATGCTCGGATCTGTGTGGAGGTCAATTTGCGGAAAAGACTAGTTTCCAAGTACAGGATTAAGAGAAGAGTTAGAAGGATTGAGTACGAGGGATTACATGTTGTTTGCTTTGATTGCGGCCACTATGGCCATCTTGCAGAGAATTGCCCACAAAAGCAAATTTTGGTGAACCAGAGCCCGAAGGATAGCACAAAAGAAGCTACTTGCCTGCAATCCAGTCTAGCAATTCGCCTAGAAATTCTGGACGACTTCGGTCCATGGATGCTTGCAACGAGTCCAAAAAGGAATGGGAACCAACAGAAAGCAAAAAAAAATCTTATGTCAATGAGGAGGTCAAGGAGATGCCAGTGAATGCCTCTGGATCTCATTTTAATGCACTAGAAACATAGGAGGAACTACCAACTGAAGAAGGGGGAGAAGCAAAACTGAGTGAGAGCCAAGCAGAAACCGTGATGGAAATGGAGCAAGAGCAGGAAAATCATACAGAAAATCAGAGCAGAGAAACAAGCAAAGAAACAAAGCAGGAGAGTAAAAAGAAGGGGAAGCAGAGTGCTTGGAGACTAATTGGGGAAATTGATAAAGAGCATAAACTCAACAACAAAATGACATCCCGCAAGGAGAACCAGAAGGCTTCCCCTATCTTGCCTAAGCAAGGCAGGGACTCTGATTCAAGTCCTGCAAAGGTCAAGCACAACCAAAGTGCCAAACAAGGAGCAGACGAAGGCGCCCACAATCAAGGTGGGACCTCTCCTGCTGCTGCAACTAAGCATAGAAACCCTTCTAGCCAACAGACTTCTTTTGTTACAGGGAGAACTGGCACAAGCAAGGGACCAACTGCGGAAGCTAAGACTGGACACCAACCCAATATAAAGCAACCAGCTGAGGGGAGGGAGGACAGACACAACACGAAAGGGTTAATTAAGAACCAAGCTTCTGGGGAGGGACAACCTAGAAGGATTGACTTTAATCCTAAGAAGGATGACAAGGAACAAGGGGCAGAAAGTGCCAATGAACCAATGGATACTACAAGCGGAAGTATTCTAGAGGTTAAGAAGAGCGCTATGGCCGTCGACAAATGATTTTTCTGACCCCCAGGTCGATATAGGGAAGACTTTCTTACACCTTTCATGGTTAAGTTACTTTCCTGGAACTATAGGGGAGCATTGCACCCCAAATTTCTTCCAACTCTTGAACTGTATAAGGCTAGTTATAGCCCAAATGTTGTTTGCATTTTGGAACCTAGGATTAGTGGTAAAGATGCAGAGAAAGTTATCAAGTCAATTGGATTTGATGCTTGGGAAGTCTTTGATGCAATGGGATTTAGTGGAGGAATTTGGGTACTCTGGAACAGATAAAACCTGAACCTAGAGCTCATGGACTGTCATAAGCAATTCCTTCACCTGAAATGTACTGCTGGAGGAAGAACAATTTACTTGCTTACTGGTGTCTACGCTAGCCCAAACGAGCATGATAGAAGAGACCTTTAGCAAAACCTGAGGAACATTGACTGCTTCTCAAGCCTTCCTTGGATCATTACTGGAGACTTCAACTCCATCACCAAGCCTTCAGAGAAAAATATGAGCTCTTTTCAACTTTACATGGTCAAGGCATTCAATGATTGCATTGATGAGTGTGGGCTGATTGATTTGAGGTTTACATGACCTAAGTTTACCTAGTTTACCAGTAACACAAGGATCATAGAGAGGTTGGATAGAAGTATGTGTAATCTGGAATGGCAACAAAAATTTCCTGAAACTAATGTGTTCCATCTGCCTAAGCTGAAATTAGATCATAGACCGATTCTTATGGTTACTTCAATGACCAATGGTTCAAGGTGATTGGAGAGAAGATTCCACTTCCTAACTGTCTGGCTTGATCACAAGGAATTCCAACCATTCATGAAGCAGGCATGGAAGCCAGGTGAAGAGTTACTACCAACACTGAAAGGACTCTCTATTAACTTGGTGAAATGGAACAAGGAGGTCATTGGAAATATATTTAGAAGGAAAAAAGACATGCTTAGACACTGAAATCACTGGAAATGATGAATGAGAGAAAACCATCAAGAAGTTCCATGGAAAAAGAGAAGGAAACCAGAGAGGAGTTAGAGGGTACCCTTTGGCAGGAAGAAATGTTGTAGAGGCAAAAAGCAATGGTCAACTAGACAGTGAAGGGAGACCTCAACACTCACTACTTCCACAACTGCACCCTGAACAGAAGAAAAAGGAACAAGATTACCAGACTCCAGGATGAGGAAGGAAACTGGATTGACGATCCTGATATTCTTCAAGACATGGAAAAGGGCCATTTTGTTCACCTATTTACAAGTAATGCCCCTTGCACCAGAATCCAGTTACCTGCCTCTTTCCCCAATGTCAATGATTCCTGGCTTAGAAGGATTGGAAGACCTCCCACTGTTGTTGAAATCAAAGCTGTTGTGTATGGAAATGAGTGAGCTGAAAGCACCAGGAAAAGATGGCTTCCATGCCTTGTTCTACCAGAAATGATGGAATGTTGTGGGATTGGACTTTGCCTCCTTCATCATGAAATGCTTTAGCATTCCAAGCAACATCTAATCCATCAATGAAACCCTACTTGCCCTCGTCCCCAAAGTGGAGTCCCCCTCCTCCATGAACCAGTTCAGACCTATCAGTCTTTGTAATGTGTGGTACAAAGTGGTGGCTAAGTGCATTGCCAAGAACCTAAAGATGCTCATGCCACAACTGGTTCATCCAAACCAGTCCAGCTTTGTTCCAAAATGTCACATTACTGACAATATCATCATTTTGTAGGAGATTGTCCATTCAATGTCTAGGAAGGTTGGCAAGAAAGGATACATGCTTCTCAAAATTGATCTTGCCAAAGCCTATGACAAAATTGATTGGAAGTTTATTGAGGAAACTCCCAGGGATGCTCACCTCCCCAACGACTGTATCAGACTGATCATGGCATGTGTGACAACCACTTATTTCCAAGTCTTGTAGAATGGAGGAGAGAATGAAAGCTTCACTCCCTCGAGAGGTTTAAGATAGGGATGTCCCCTCTCACCCTATCTTTTTACTCTTTGCATTGAGAGATTAAGCCATTGCATTTTGAAAGAAGTGAATGATGGAAACTGGAAACCTGTTTGTTTGTCTCCTGGTGGCCCTTCTCTTTCCCACCTTTTTTTTTTTTGCAGATGACTTAGTGCTTTTCTCTCAAGCTTGTTTGTCAAATGCTAACACCATAATGAAGTATCTTGAGTCCTTTTGTTCTGCCTTACCAAGGGTACCTACATATACATTTTTTATAGGGTTGATCAAAAGCTTACCTCCTAGAAAGCTAGAACTCTTTCACTAGCTGGAAGAGTCACTCTTGCTCAATCTGTTCTCAATGCCATTCCTACACATGCTATGCAAACAACCTCTATTCTTTTTTCTGTTTGTGATGAGATTGATAGGAAGATTAGGAGATTCGTCTGGGGTTCCATGGATTGGAAGGGGAAACCTCATCTGGTTTCCAGTGATAAGATCTGCATGCCTAAAAATCTGGGAGGACTTGACCTTAGATCAACTCGTTGTTTGATTAAAGCATACATGATCAAATTGGCTTGGCAAATGCTTAACAACGAATATGATCTTTGGGTCCAGGTGCTATAGGGAAAGTATCACAAGCATAGGGATGGCAACATCATTGCTATGAAAAAGACTAACCACTCTAGCCTTTGGAAAGATGTGGTGAAAGCCATGCCTCTGATGAAGGAGGCTTCTTGCTGGAGCATCAAGAATAGGGAATCAACTAGCTTCTAGAGGCACCCTTGGATCGAGAATGGATTGATTCTGTAGGACTTCTTGACCAATGAAATCATAGAAGAGGAAAAAGAGTCTCTTATGGCCCACTGGGCTATAGAAGGGGGTGAGTGGAATTGGGACAAGATCAAAACTTTGCTCCCTGATGATAAATTTTTGCTTATTGCAGGAATACAAAAACCAAGTACTGATCTGGGAGAGGACAAGATGATCTGGGGATTGGAGCGTGATGGAAGATTCGGGCTCAAATCTGCCTACAACCTTGCTGGTAATATGGAGGAGGAAGATGATGTTAAGGAGGGAACTTGGAAAGCACTCTAGAGGTGGAAATGTCCCAGCAGGATCAAACACTTCATGTGGCTTGTTCTCCACGGAAGACTCTTCGCCAACAAGGAACATGCAAGAAGAAACATCACCACTAACAATGTTTCGGGTCCATTTTACCCCACATTTCTTGATAGTTCGGATTTGCATTTCATCGTCCCTCGACATATTTCACGCTAGGTTGTGCTTGTTTTGATACATTTCAGGTCCTAGTACGTGTGGAAGGGTTGAGGATTAGTTTTGGATGATTGGAGGTCGAAAAGCGCAAAACCGAAAAAAATTCCAAAGCAACCATGACAATTGCCCCGTGACCGTGAAGCGTAGGATTCCATGAACCAGCCGCAGTTCACTATCATAGCTACGAGTTCTCGGTCGCCAAGACCGTGAACTGGAACCACAAACCGTGAACCAAAAAGCATCCAGAGGAGTTTTAGAGGTTACTAACGTTGAGGCAGTTCACGGTCGTAAGACCGTGAACTGAAGTCATGGATCGTGAACTCAACAAATGAAGTGGCGCGTTTTGGGTTGTGTTCACGGTCCCGGACTGATGTTCACGGCCGTGAACTGGGCGCGACTGGGTATAAATAGAGAGCTGAAAGGAGGAAGATGAGAGTTTTCTAGGGTTTTATTTGTCATAATAAAGAGGGTTTTCTAGTGAGAGGTTAGGGTTTTCTCTTCCCATTCTAGAGAGAGAAAGTGCCATTCAAAGGAGGAAGAAGGAGATTGGGCTTAATTCAAGCTAGAGGATTGAAGATCTCTTCTTTTCAAGGGAGATTCAAGCAAGAAGGAAGGAAGATTTTCATCTCTCCATGGTTCTTTCTCTCATTTTTGTTGTTTTCGTTTGCTTAGCTATGAATTAGCCTTCCATCTCACTTAGGTATTGTGAAACCTAGTTTAGATGTGTGTTAGGATGTAAGAACTTTATTCTATTGTGTTGATTGTATGTTTTATATAATATTTGAGGTATTAATCATGAATGATTGGGTGTTTCTTGCTTTATCTCATTATTGGGTCAAATTAACCTAGAAGGTGGAAATCCCCCTTTGGCCCATAGGGAGCTTGATCTCCTAGCCACTTGGGTAACCCCTTTTGGGTTAATCTAGGGACAAATCCTCAAGTATCAGGGTAGTACCATGATCCCAACATGGTTGGTCGCTCTCCGCCATCCGGATTAACTTCCGAGGGTTGGGTTTTGCAACCCTTAGTTTATTAGTTAAGAGGGCTAGATCATCTAGCCTATTGTTGTCATCCTTAGCCGGAAGGTTAAGAGAGTTAGTCTACTAACTTAATGCAACAATCCTTAATTGGTCAACTAAGAGAGTTAGGGTTTCCTCGTTTGTTTGATTAAGAGAGCTAGGCCTCCTAGCTTATTGTTGCAATCCTTAGCCAAGAGGTTAAGAGAGCTAGGTTTGCTAGATTATTGTAGCAATCCTTGATTGATCGACTAGGAGGGCTCGTTCCTAGCTTGTTGCACCCTCCTCGCGGCATATAAACATACCCTTCACACTAGAGTTTCGTTCATTGATTCTTAGCATGAGACTAGAGGGAGCAATACCCGGGTGAAGTCCTCTCATATAGAATTCCGCTCGATTTACTTTACTTGCTTGTTTTCATTTGTAGTTTTCTTAGTTTTAAACCAAAAAACGTTTTCTAGATAACAACCTAAGCGATTGAAGTAGGGGTACATGGACCTTCCCGAGTTTAACAATTAAAACATACTTGCCCTATGCTGCACCCGCTAGAGCTTAAAAACTTGGGCTCTAGTCGTGATTTAAATCGCGGTGTATCTGTGGCGAGTCAAATAGAAATTGTAACCACTGCAGAGATAGTGAAGAATCAATTGAGCATATCTTGAACAACACCTTCCAGGAGTGGCTCCTCTCCAATTTACTCCATGATGAAAAAGGGGTGGATTTTGGAGTCATTTGCTGGAACCTCTGGAAACAACATAACGAGGAAGTCATGGA